ACTACATTTCAACATCGTGATAATACCGTATACCGTGATAAAAGCATGAGCAATTAATCGCAACATGAAAATTTGATACCGGCATATCCCTACTCTACATATTAATTTAATTTGCATAGCTGATGTGCTGCACTGCTATTGGCCGCCAGGTCAGCAAGTGCCATATGCTGCAAAAACAAAGGAATCTGAATGGACTGTGGTGCTTCGTGTATATCAAATATTTTTTGATGAGATTAACACTGATTTCATATCGATGCTGTGGACTCAGACTCAGAAACGGTGCAGGTAACTTACATCATGACTTTGGATACGTGTATATCCACCGGTATGCTTCTGTCTTTGAAGGCTGTGGTAATAAAGCATCCGAAAGTGAGAGCTGCCATCACACTGAGAGAGAAGGCGAAGAGCGAGTTCGCCCTCGACAATACCGTATTCATGATTCAATCTATTTCTGATCAAACTAAAACAGTGTAATGCAAAACAAAGATATATTGAAAAGCTCCGAGCGGAGGTTCAGAGCAGGAAGTTGGGCAGTTAAAAGATGATTCGGAAGCAAGACCGACTTCCTGTTTCATTTTGGAAAGTACATACTGACATCCAGTGGTCAGGAAGTAGAATTGCATGAACAGTCAAAGAGCAACCTCTTTTTCATGTGGGTAAAGTGTACAACGGTAGTAACCTTTTATCTTACACACCCAGTTGCTCCAAAGTTAAGGAGGCACATTACAGAATTATGTTTAGGATTTACCCTGTTAGCGATTTTATACAGAAAATAATTATTTTTGAGGTGGACTCGTATGGTTTTTGTTCTTCTTTTCCTGAAACACTTGATCACCTATTATTTTACTGTGAGGTTGCTTCTAAATTCTGGTTTGATATTCATAGTTGGTTATTCGGTAAAAATGGAAACAATTCCTTCATTTGTTTTGCAAGATATCTTCTTTTTTTAAGTGTGATTTAAATTCTCTTTTTTCAGATGTTGTCAACTTTGTTTTATTGTTTGGTAAATCTCATATTTGTACATGCAAATGGGAAAATGTAAGCCATCATTTAATATATTACTTTGTGAGTTTGTGAAAATGTTTCAGAGCTTTAAGCACTTTAAAAATCTAAATAGAGAGTCTGAAACTCTTTACCTCTCTCAAAATCCTATCTCCTATCTCAAAATACTTTTTTGTACATCTGATTCCTACTCCTTGTGTTGTGTTGTGTTTTTTTTCTTTTCCCCTCATTGTTGTTGTTATTGTTGTGAGTATAATAATTATTATTTATGTTGATTATTTGAATTATTTTTAGTGGATTTGCCTTATGTTGTTGGATGTTCCCTGTCTTACTGACTATTTGTGTATGTGGAATTTCCCCCAAATAATACAAATTTGTACAAGATAAATAAAAAAAGCTGATTCATCTATTATAATGTTTATTAGTACAGTTGCTTGGAAATATTAATATCTCCTATGAACATTTCACAGAACCACTTACAAGTTCTTAAAAAATATAAAAGCAAAATTAAATGTTTGTAAAATTATTTTTCGTAAAATCACTGTATTAAAGGGGTCATATGATGCCTGAAGTTGCAAAGACTAAAGTCTCAAAACCAAAGAGATATCTTATCAAAATATGATAAAGCTCAGATGATCAACCAAATGCTTCATCCTGGTGACTCTTCTGTTATTGGATTAATCATGGCTGACTGTGAAGAGGCATTTATTACATAAACAAAAATAGAGTAATCTGAAGACATTGCTCTATAGCAACAATATGTTATAATACAAATAGCGTAATGAAAACAAAGCTGTCACTATGTATCATGAGACAAACATCCCAACAAATGACAACACCTATTGTTATGCCTCAGTCAAGTGGCCCATTTTCCACTAGCTATAAGTACAGCTGCCTTATCTCATCTCTTCTCTGGGCCCAGCTGCCTTGGGGAATAACTGGGCCGGCCTGGCATATGATCCCCAACAACACATCCCTGGATCCCATTCCAAAACATTTACTGTCACTGAGCAGTAGCAATGACTGAGATTTTGGAGGAGCGGCGTTTTGGCTCACAGTATACCAACGTCTATCTCTCGATTTTTGCCCTTTTTTGCTTCAAATTATTTGTCAAGATCAGTTTAAACATACTGACCCACTTCTATGTGGTTAAAGGAAACCGTAATGAGGCGGCCCGGATCGCAGCTGAGTTCTATGATTTTGGCCAAGGGCACAGTAAGTACGCAAGAATGGAACATATTGAGGCTATATATTTTGGAGCATGTTCTGAGACACTATAGGGTCTTTATGTCTCTTTGTAAGGTACGTAAAACTTTAACTGATTGTATAGGGTGTGAAAGAGAAAGCTTCTGCAGCATGGCCCAGTTTGTAACACTGAGAAAATTGGGTCAGCGTGTTCTTACCTAATACTGAGTTAAGGAAAATTATTTTCTCACAGAATTTTTAAATGACTGTGTTGACTGAATACAATGTTGAAAAAGCAATAGCAATTTAAACGTTTTGAAATTAAAATTGTATAGTAATGCATCCGTCATATTTATTAATGAATCTGTAATTTGACACTCTGAAGTCTAAAGAAAAATGTAGTGATTTTGTCTGTGGAAATGATCCTCTCTCTGTATGATTCTCACTCCTTTTTGTCTTTTTTGCCCTATATTATTCCTTACTATGACCTAATAACATGCAAATTTACCTGATGTGAAATGCTAAACAAATTACTGAGATGACTGCTTGCATTATCAGTTATTATCCGCAACCTGCTTTGCTTCTGACAACAACAGACAAAGCAACAGACAAACGGAAATGTTTGGCTATATGACGCAAAAGGACGTGTGACGTACTGTAACATTAAAATAATTTAAAACTGTAACACATTCTACAATAGGCCTACATCTATTTTTGATAAATGTTAAGTGAAAAAGCCATTTAGAATCCTGATTCTATTACTACTTGCGTCGGAATAATAGTGGCAGCGTTCTAATCTTAACCTGAGATATAAATAGTATTACTGACACGGACTTGGTATTATGGTGAATATTTATCTCATGAATATAAAGTACGTTGCGTGACGTGCGCCCAGTAGGCGTAATCGCAGTAAGTGGGCGTTTATTTTTCCTACTATGGCAAAGGCTCGGCTTATGCATATTAATTACGTTACGTGACCAGAAGCTCCTAAAAGAAAAATATAGCAAGCAACGTCAAGTATAGGTCAGCAACGTCAATGTGACCTTATTAATATTCATAAGTTAGCCAACGCGACTCTACTGAGATCTGAAACAACAACAAGCCGAGCAGCCAATCAAAAAGAGGCGCTAGTCACAGTCGCTCTACCCCGTGTAAAGAGGAGGACATAGAGCTGATGCAAACATGCCTGAAGTTCCCTGCAGAGAACCCGAGTACTCAGAAAATACTCCCAAGAAAAGAAAGCGAGAGGACGTCGACGGTTTTTCTGAGAAAAAGAAATCGCGCTGGGGTATTTTGATTAGTCAAGGTGAGTTATCGACACGTGTAAATAAATGTGCCTTTATATTGCGCCCTGCTGTCACCTTGCAGTAATGCATTTGTATTAGGGCGGACCTTTTATGTAAAACGACAAATAACATTTTAAGTAATATTAGATAAATAATATAAAAAATAATGATTAATATGATATTCTTAATATTATTGTTAATATCATAAATATTGTTTTATATTTAGCTTATACATAAATAATATGTTTTCATGATTAAAAAAATAAGAAAATTGAATGAAAAAAAAGAATGGACTAAGGATGGATATTAACTACATAATTTCCACAGTGTCAGTCAGAAGCATGCACACATGCAAGCATCATTCTCAGTAGAGCTGAAAAAAAAAGAACATTTTGTTCCAAAGCCTGGTTAGTGTTTCCTATATTCCCCAGAACCAAAATACAAAACTGTCTAGCTATTTGCAGACTATGCAACAGTAGCAGTAAGTATAGGAACATAAAAATAGTAATATGCACTATGTAATGTGTTTACCATGTTGTGTACATGACCTAGTAGTTATTAGTTGAGGTAAAAATCTGTCTGAGTGTGTGATAGTCTGATAGTTTCTTAAGGTAAAAATCTATCTGATTTTATTGTTTTTATTGCTGCACACAGCTAAGTTTAGTTACTTCTAGTTGGCAGCATTTGAACCCTCTTAGCAAGGCCACGAGAGTTCAAGTAAACACAGTATAGGCTATTATGTGTTGTGTTTGGACTCCTACATTATGCTTTAGACTTGGTCTTTTACACTATAATGCGCATGGGAGGGATTCCTTTATATCATTGCAGTGTGCCAGAGAATAGTTGAATAGTACTGTCTTTGACTTGTAACTTTCCTGCTTAGGCTAAGCAAGGAAGTTACAAGTGGTCCTAGTCTCCATGGAGCCCAGCTGTAGTCACATGAACAGAACAGGATCTGAAATATTCATGAAAGCTTTCACAGAGTCTCAATAAAGACTTTTTGCTGTTAAACAGGCAGCATTCATACTGAGCAGTGCCAGTTTCTCTGACCTAAATTGTCACTATTGAAGTAATTTTGATTAATTCATTTTTATATGGCATAATGCCAAAGAAAACACAAAATTGCATCATTAAATTATATTAGCATCTAGTAATCTAGTATCATTGTAATTGACTGAAGCACAGCTGTGACCTAAAGTTCCACATGTCAGTGTGGAATCTCAGTGGCAGTAACTCATCTCCTTCGCTCAACTAAGCTAAAAAGAGAAGACGGCTGCTTTTTTGCGCCTCAAGATGACAGCCGTCCTTTCATTTACAGGCTATGGCGTATTCGTATCAATGGCTAGATGTGCCGTGGGGCGACGGAGACCTCGGTACTTAACACAACCTATTGCTCTTAGGCCTCGTTCTGTGCCAGCAATGGCAGTAGCAGAAGGCAGTTGTTGTATGTTGTTGTGGCTAGATTGAGCTCCTGCTAAATATAGATCTCCTCAGTCCACTGTGAATAGATACATACCTATGGTATGAGCTGCTAGTACTGTGAATTAAGGCATATGTAACACCCTCACAACTATTCTGTTACACATACGATTCTGGTTCTGACTAAATATAAAATGTCTGAAGACAGTGTTGTTGGTAGCTGTGTTGTTGTTTATGTGGTCAGTAGGTTGATGCAGTTGTTTAATTGAGGAATCTTCAAAATGCAGACTGAGGACCCCCAGGAGGTTGCAGGGTGGTGTTAGGGGATCTATGGAAAATATGAGAAAAAATAAGAAATATTTGACAAAACTACTTTTTTATTAGTATAATTATTTTTTTAGGGATATTGATGGTAACTTGTTAACTAAGATATTTATCAAATGTGTTTAACATGATCATTTTTAACACATTGCTTTGAAATTATTAATTATTTTAATTGTGAGAAGCACTTTACAAATAAATCTGAATTGAAAATACACTATATGATAAGTTTATGCATCTAACAATAAACATTTAACATTAATGATGGGTTAAAAATATAGAATTATAATAATAATTGTCAATATATTTCATGGGTAGATTGATTTTTGATCATTAAACTTTTTTTAAATTTAAAATATTTAAGGATTTTTTAGCACAAAATTATTGCTCGCCAGTTTATTAAAAAATGTAGCTTTTTTGAAGAGTAAAGCTGGTAGTGAATACTTTGACACTGAAATGGCTTCCGCTCAAACACATAATAGAAAAGACATGCTGTCCAAAATGCCCCGTTGCCAGTAACGGAGAGCCCTGGCATTTGCTGCCCAGGAATAATGAACGCCATGGATCGTCCACTGAGTTTTTGTAAATGGGCTTTTGTTATGTGAGGTGTTTTGTAAATGTATCCTTTATACATGAAAAAGTATAGCTGCCTTTATAGGAGAATAATATTGCTTTTATTTCTACATACTGATAACATAGCCCGATTTTTATTGTGCATTCTATGTAGTGAAATCATTTCATTTACATTTTGTATCGAAGCAACACAGGGGAATCTGTTCAAATGGCTCAACAGTTGACATGAGTCGACCTTTATTGTATCTAGAGAGCTGATCTACTCTCATGTTAGTTGATAATGCTTTGCCATTTTCAGCAATTCCACTCACAGGCTCTCTGCTCAACAGCTGTCAATGGGCAGTGTCAAAATCACCAGTGCTTACACCACTCTCACTTTACAATGTACTAGAAATTATATGAAGTCTGGCTGTGGCTGAGTGGGTGTATTTAAAGCTCTTGAATTACATGGTGCTTTTGGTTGGCTTTTAAATACAGCAAATAATGGTTGCTGTAAATTATGTTAATGTAACTTTTTTGAGGTTGTTTTGTAGTTTGTTTTTCTGAAATGAAAGGGCATTTATTAGTCATGGGAAACAGTTGGGTGTCAGTACATTTGTTTATTATTAAGAATAATCTGATGTGTGTTCACAGGTTCATGGGCGGATCGTTCTCCACTCCATGAAGCTGCGTCTCAGGGTCGACTTCTGGCGCTTAAGACTCTTCTCTCACAGGTTCACAGACATATGCACATACATAAATGGAGCAGAAATTGCTAAAAAAGAGGTCAAATTAATATGTTAGCATTTTTAAAAAGAAAATACATAGTTTTTCTGTTTTTTTCTTCTTCTCCATATTACCAGGGTTACAGTGCAAATATCATCACCATTGATCATGTGACTCCACTGCACGAAGCTTGTCTGGGAGATCACGTAGCATGTGCCAGGGCTCTTATAGAAGCTGGTGCCAATGTGAGTTACAGTTATTAAACAACATAGGTTTACAGCTATAGCAAAAATTCAACTGAACTTCTGCAACCAACTGAACTTCTAAAGAACTAAATAAATTATGTAAATAAATTATTTCACTTGCACGTAGCATGTGCCAGGGCTCTTATAGAAGCTGGTGCCAATGTGAGTTACAGTTATTAAACAACATATTTAAGGTTTTTCAGCAACATATACATATTTTATATATGCCCCAATAAAAAACACAGCTTACCCTGACTTAACATTTCTGAAATATGCTCTTGTCATGAGTATACAGTTCAGTCTTTTGCTTACTCTTTTATATATATATATAT